TGCGGATGCGGCCGAGGATGTCGACCCACTGTTCCCACCGTGCACCGTCCCGTGGTCGAAGGTGGCCTGGTACCTGACGGGGTACGTCGGCCGTGAGCTTGTCGACACACGCGTAGAGCTGGTCCAGCTGCCGCTGCCCGTTGCCCCGCGCCTTGTGACGGTAGATGTTCTGAAGGATGGTGTGCAATCTGGTCCACCACGAGCTGCTGAGATCTCGGAGTGCTGCACACCTCTTACTCTGCTGTTCACGAACGGGTACCACTCTGAACTCGGGACCTGCAGCGCGCGATCCGCCGAGGAAGACCTGACTATGGTGAGCGTGGACGGTGGCCTCAACAGTGGCCGCCCAGGAGCCGTAAAGCTGCCCGAGCTGACACGAAACGTCAGGCTTGAGCGAGAAGGCAACGGACGAGGCAGCAGCAGCGGCAGGCCGAGTGGAGTGGGGGGGCAGAAGACCTATTTGAAAACGGTGTTCCGTCCACAATTCACTCGGGATATCGAAGCTGGGCTGCTGGGTGCTACCTGTGCTGGCCGACTCCGTCCCCTGGGATTCAGCAGGTCTGTGGGGGTTCTCACACTGGGCTGAGTGAGACGATGCGACGTCGATGCGGGCAGGCTCGGGAGGAGGGGAGGAGGCGGGGGCCGACGGTTGGTCTTTCTCATCGCTCGGCGCCTGGACTGGGTCGGCCAGCGGCTCGCGACGACACTGAAAAACACTTTCGTCGATCCACGGGTCCTCCTCGGATTCGAAACCACCCTGGGACTCGCGGTCTGACGGATCATCAGCACAAGTGGACTGGCCATCGAGCTCAGGGTTGGCAGTGGCCGTCCACAAATCTCCTACTAGGGCAGAGTGAAGTTTATCTTTACGTTCGGCTGCCTTTGCAGCCTGCTCGGCCTTCTTGGCTCTCGTTACGCTAGACTTGGAGCCTGGGGTGGGAGCCTGGGCAGGACGAGTGACACTCGGAAGCCGCCTGGGAAGGTCAACAATGCGAGTGATCAACTGTTCACCCTCAGCGACGAAACGAATTCTTAAAGCGAGATGTGGCTTCCACGGCACGTCGTGGACCGCCGTGACCTGAGAGACATATGCACGAGCAGCTGCGCAGTGCACAACAAAGTCCAAATGCGATGGCTTACGCCCTCCCCCAGGGTCGCAAGTGTGCTCGACATCGGCACATCTGATCTCGCCTCCTACTTGCTGCAAAAACCCTGAGGCCGTGAGGGCCTGTGGCGAAATGTTCCAGTCCCCGACCACGGCCCAGGGAAGTTGGAGGGATCTCAAAAGACTGCCGAGCCGTCTAAATCTGACGAGGTTTGGGCCAGTGATGCCTATACTACAAAACCCATAGAAAAAATCACTACTATTGAGTAGCCACTGAAGTGCAGCACTACAGGCAGAAAGCCATCTACGCTGGTGGACGGCTTGGCCTGCAGCGCTGCGGATTGGATGCCCTCATGGAGCACGTGCGTCTGCAAGTGACCCTTGGCCAGAAACCACTCGCCCCCCTCGTTGGCATGTCCTGCGGACGATTCGGACGAATCACCTGTCCACCCATCAGGATGCC